TGTATGTATTGTGGCTTTCAGCATTCGGATCCTACATGTATTTTTTCTGGCTCATAAATATTTCATCTTTTGGTGCTGTTGTAATTAGGGCTGTTCATTTTCTCTTTTCTAATTGTTTATTGTCTCATTTTTCTTGTGGTTCTGTCAAGTTTTACATCGTGTTATTCAGTGCATAAATAGTAGTGTTTGTCAGTTGACACCTTTATCATTATAGAGTGGCCATCTTTATCCCTGGTGGTCTTTGCTCCAAAAACTACTTTGTCTGATGTTCATATGGACACTTCCAGCTCTCTCTTGACTAGTGTGAGCCTGGTATGTCTTTTTCCTTCCTTTTACTTTTGGCCAATTTGTGTCCTTGTATTTAAAGGGGGCTTGTTGCAGACAGCATGGAGTGTTACTTTTCTATTCAGTCAGAAGGTCTCTGCTTTTTGATTGATGAGGGTGTGCAAACCACTTACTTTCAATGTGAGTATTGGTGTTGTTTCGTTTAAGTCGGCTGTCCTTCTGTGTGCGTGCATTCCCCAGGACGACACCTGGACTCTACTATGAAAGCAGGCTTGAACCAACCTCATAAATGAGGAAAGGCCCAGATTTTCTCCTACGATTGCCACTAGAATTTTTATTATTCCCCTAAATTTTATATTACATTCATTGAGTTCATCAAAAATCCAGTTAGAATTATGTTTAAGATTGTATTCAGTGTGCAGATTGCTTTGTGGCAAAGTTACCTTTGTAATAAGCTGTCACCCCACACTGGGGCCCGAAGTTTCCTCTGTTCATTCAGATACTCTAACATGCCCTTTATTAGGGTTTTTTTTTGCTCTCTCCACTGGGGCCTTGTAACTGGGCGTCGAGTTCCCAGGCCCTCGGTCACTTCTGGAACTGTGTTCTTGGGCTCCTCCCACTAATTCTGTTCCCTAATTACGTTGCTGTTAATGGAGAGGGTGTTGCTGTTGTTAGTTTTGTATTTTTGGCTTTTCTATTCTAGCCCAGCTGCGATGGTCTCTGCTGCCTCTGTTGGTTTTTCCAGATACACTGTAACATTTACAAATACAATTTTCTATTAAAAAATAGCAGTAATGTCGATGGGCTCCCTCCCCACTTCCCCCCAGCCCACCTGCCCCCAGAATGTATTTCATGACTCTCAGAACCTAGTGTTTCTGTTCGTGGGAGGATGAGCATCTGGAGGAACTGAGATTTGGCCTTTAGCAGACTCACCTCTATAAATCCTGTTCGTGTGCATAAAACAGAATACATAAAGTAATGGAATAACCTTTGTGTTTAGAAGGAAGAACTGAATAATGAACCTTCCTTGACCCATTGTCTCTGAAATTAGATTATTGGTGTTCTTTGGAGCATCTCTTCATTATCTTAAACCTCTGTATATTCTACCATACTGCAGTTATGTCTTGGCACGAATGTTTTATTACTTCACCCACTGGTCGTGAATATCACAGATACAGAAAGGCTTCATGATATTGCTGAATCGCAGGAATTTCCCACAAGGTTGCCTCCCAAGCCAGCGTGGTTTGCATCTAATTCAGTAAATTTAGCACTCTGGAGAAGAGCATCTGCAGGGCTGATTTTAAGTACTGAAAGTAGGAGTGTCAAGAAAGCTGTGAAAGCAGGTGCTTCCTAATATTACAGAGTCCGTCCACACCCCACCCGGCCGATGCACGCATGACCTACGTGCACACCCGCGTGCACAGGAACCGCACGTGTGCGCCCCTGTCCCACTTCACGCGGGCCCAGTGCAGAGAGAAGATTCACCCTCTTCCTACACGTGAGAAAACCGAAGCGTGGGCAGATTTTTCAGGGCACAATTCCTGCTTCTGGGTAGAAGAGGGCTGGGAGGCTGTCCCCACCGGGCCCTGCTGCCCTTTCTTTGCGGCCTGATCCTGGCTGGGTCCACACCTCTGGGTGCACTCACTCAGTTGAGCTGAGAGGTTAAAATGAATCCATCTGGTCCACACCCGACCTACAGTACAAACGAGATTCCCTTCCATTTTTGTGGCATGAGGATGACGAAGACCAGCCTTCTGCGGTGCTCAGACTAAACTGCACGTGTCTAGACAGCTTGGTCCTCCCTCCTGACACCCAGATGTCAGCACCACGGTGCTCAGCTCGCTTGACCCTGAAGCTTTTGTGCTCAGAATTACTGAAGCCCAAGAATAATTTGAGGTGGCAAACCGTGTGCCTTCTGTTCTTTTCTTCCAAATGTTAGTTTTATACATTTAGTCTTTTCTAGAGCTGAGCATCGAATGAATGCAACGAATGAATGCATCGAATGAATGCAACTGCAACATGATGTGGTAGGAAAGGTGTGTAGAAGTGTGTGAGATTTTTTTTTTTTTTTTTTTTTTTTGTCTTGTGAAAGAAATAACTGTATCCATTAGAGTTGGCCAGTAGTAAAACTTCCTGGATCGGGGCTGGTTGTCCTTAGGCCTTTGAGGATACTGAAGCGGGAAAAGCAAGGCGGTCTGTCACCCCTGCAGACTCCCGACTCCACATCCGGGATTCGGGCCGTAGGTGACCGGACACCCCTCCCTGGGCTTCAACTTGAGACTTGAACTTCACTACTGGTAGACTCTAACCAGTTTACTAAGAATCTTAACTAAGCAGGCATGTCAGAGTTCTACCAGAGGAACACCTGGTAAGAGAGAGGGAGAAACAGACAGAGCCCACGATCGATTTTCAGGAACTCCGCGGGGCAGGAGCTGAGGCCGCCCCCACAGGGGGATTTTTTTCTTCCTCAGGAAAAACCACAGTTCTGCTCTTCCGACTTCGCTGCTGAGTAGCTGAGGCCCACCCACATCCTCAGGGGTCGTCTCCTGTGCGTAAAGTCAGCTGACAGCCGATGTCGACCACGGCTGCAAATGCCTCTAAGAGTGCGGCTCCCGTTAGTGTCTGAAAGCAGAGTGCTCTCAGACGAGCCACGATCGGCTCAGTCTTGCTTTCCTGCCCCTGGTTAGTCTCTCTGGCGACAGGGCCCCACCGGTGTAACGCTTCAGTCCCCACGGGCAGCCTGGCCAGTGAGGGACCTGTGGGGCGGGGCTGCGGGGCCTGGCCTAGAGCAGAGCAGGAGGGCAGCCGCCACCGCGTGCTTGCTCCCTTCCTGCGTGGGACCCAGATGTCACGGGCTGCTCACGTGAGTCTCCAAGAGAGGCAGGCCCAGCGTGTGTCCACAGAAGCCTCCGCCCCCCAGGGACGCCGTGTGGGCTCTGCCCTCCAACGCTGGGCCTGCAGCTCTCCTCCGCCTCACTCTCTTCAAGGCACCTACAGTCCCTGGGTGACTGTCTTGGAGCCCCCAGCGGTTTGGGGCTCAGCCTCAGACTCATCTGACCCCACTCTCCGCATTTTCCCGGCCTGGGAAGGAAGGGGCGAAGGCTCGCAATGACAGGGCTGGTCTGTTGCCCCTCGGCAAGCCCCCGGGGGCGGGTGGGGGGGGCACCTGAGTGTGGCCTTTTCTTGGTGTGAGAGATCTTGCTGTCTGCTTGCTCTCTTCTGTGGGCTTGGGGATCGGGGTGCCAGGAGAGTCCCTCCCCTGGGGGCCGGTGACAGAACGTGCCCCGTGCACCTGGCAGCACCTGTCACAGCCTCTGTCTGTAACTTGGGAGGCCTCCTTCAGGACCCTGTTCACAGGTTCCAAACCTTTTTTACTTTCTACTTAGGTTTTAGGAGTATTATCTTATTTTTACTAAAGGATTTTTTTGTTTCTGGATTTCCAACCATTTTTTTGTTCTTTCTGTTCCTGTACTATCTCAGCGCCGTTGCTATGATTCCTTGCACCCGCGCCTCCTCTCAGGCAACAAATGTTTGAGGCTCAGGGCTTTTATAGCTGACGGCTTGAAGTGGGGGCATGTTCCTTCCCGGAACACAATGGTAGGGCTCAGAGTTCAGTGTCAGTAACAGTAAAGACGAGAAGAAACACAGTGGATGACCTTGGGTTTTAGCTCTCTCTACGAGACTGGACACCTGAGCATCAGGTTTGCCCTCGACTGTCCACAGATACCTCCCGCCCGTTGTCATGGAGCCGAGTCTTACCTTGTGCGGCAGGTGTTTGGGTTGTGTGCTGTGGGGGGTGGAGGGACAGAGGCCTTGCTGTGGTCATGTGAGTGCCCATCACCGGAGCCCAGTCCTGTAAGCTCCATATGGCAGGCTCACAGCTTCTGTAAGGTAACTTATCATATTCATAAAAGAAGAATAAGTTATAAATTGATATAGAAAAACAACATTTATATCACAAATTTACCTGTGTATGTTGTGCTTGCACCATATGGGCATTAAAGTGTACTTGTGCTCCAGAGAACTCTAGATTTTATGTAGAAGCATCTGTAAAACACTTGACTTTTATGAAGTTGGAAATAAACAGAGCCTGGGGTGGAAGTCCGTGGTGAAGGACAATGTAAAGAAAAACAGGTAGCAAATTCATTCACACTCCAGAGAACTCTCTTCCTAAGTCATTTCTTCCTGAGTCCAGACAGACCAAGACTGGGACTGTCCAGCCCCGGGCACACAGCCCGCTGCCCTCTGATGGTTCTCTCGGTGCCGATCGCAGGCACCTCTGGGGCAGGAGGTCAGGTCTTCAGTCTCTGCTGTTGCCTGCGTAATCTCATCCTTTTCTTCCCAGCACCACACCCGCCTCCTTGCTTGGTGCTTACTGTGCACGGTGGGGACCGTGGGCTCACTGCTGCCCACCAGCACTGGTTGAGGCTGGTTGTCCGTGAGTCCGGCAGCTCAGAGTCAAGCAGGCGTCTCAGCGGCCACCTGTCCGCGGGCCAGGTTTCCTTCTGCACTTTTGACCCAAGATCTCAGTGGGGATCCGCACTGCTTCTGAAAAAGAATAAGGACGAGCCCCATAACCACTAGAAGCAGCTACCATTAGAATTAAAATGTTTTCTGTAACTCTCTTTTTAATGTTTTCTGTAAATGTTTTTTTAAATGTTTTCTGTAAATACCTTGAATGTCTTGGTTATAACTCGAGAATATGTGGATTTTAGTTTGCAGTTAACATGTTTCGAACATTACCACCTTCCTCCAATCCTACGGGAGCAGAATTTGACCCCGAGGAAGACGAGCCCACGTTAGAAGCAGCCTGGCCTCATCTACAGGTACTGAACTCTGGGAGTGCCCCGGAAACGGGCGCAAGTTAAGTGTGTGTGTTCACGGGGTTTGTCTCTAAAGCAAGTGCGCTGGTCCATAGGGCCTCACACCGGCTGATTACAGATGGACCTCTGACCTTACAAACTGGTGCATACAAGAAAGGTATTTTAGCAGAAGTGATAAAATTGAATGGTTTTTTTTGTCTGTTTGGACCCTTGACACAAACTACAAAGATACAGAATTGTCAATATGTTTGTAATGGAAGTAACCTCTTCGTTGATAGCCATTAGATCGAGGCCTTTTGCAGATAGATGCTCCCCCTGTTTTCAGGACGTAGATTTAACGCACCCCAAAGCTCACCTCCTGACTCACACATTTGTAAGGCAAAAAGGTGATCATAGATCAAGCTGGACGCCTGAGAAGACACTGAGCCCAGTGTGAGCAGAGTGTGGGCAAGCCACGCGCCTCACCGGGGCCTGGGTCATCTGCAGGAGGGGAGATGGAGAGGTGGAAGCTGGGAACGAGCGATATGGGGAACAGATCACAAAAGGGGGCTGTCTCGGGGGCAGGACATGACCCCCCAGGCATGTGGGATTGCTGTGTAACCATGACAGCCTGCAGTCCACTCGTGAAAGGGAGGAGCGTCCCAGCCCCGGGTGACTGCATCCGTGACCCGCTCACCGAGCCGTCCCAGCTTCCTATCCCCCGGCTGTGCCAGGACACGTGCTCGCGGCGGGCTGCAGGTCCCGCCCTGCTGGGGCTGCTGGGCACTGGGGTCTCCCAGCAGCGTCAGCTAAGCGTAGTGACACCCGCCGTGGGTATCATTTTGTTTAAATGCCATTTCAGGGTATAGTCTGTGGTTCTGAGCTAAATAAAACAATTGCCAGCATCAGTTATAATTAAACGAAGCCATGGTATTTGGCATTAATTCTGTAGATACGTGGCTTTCTTTTTTTTTTTAAAGGCTTAATATTTTCGGACAGAGATTCTACTTGTGTATCTTTAATCGCCGTCTAATAAAATACCATGTTATTTGACTCATTGTTTTTTTCCTCCTAGCTTGTTTATGAATTTTTCTTAAGATTTTTAGAGTCTCCAGATTTCCAACCTAATATAGCGAAGAAATATATTGATCAGAAGTTTGTATTGCAGGTAAGGCACAAATTAGCTGAAGCTACAAAAGCCCTAATCTACAGAGCGGGAATACTGGTCCACTAAGTGTCTTTTTCTTCTTGAAGCTTTTAGAGCTCTTTGACAGTGAAGATCCTCGAGAGAGAGATTTTCTTAAAACTACCCTTCACAGAATCTATGGAAAATTCTTAGGCTTAAGAGCTTACATCAGAAAACAGATAAATAATATATTTTATAGGTAAGTTGGTGTGTGGGTGGCGTGTCTCTTTTTGCATGATGATGTTCGTGTTCACACTCAGTGCTCCCCCGCCCCATCGTTCCCTTTGGCAGGTGACTGGGGCGTGGGCCTGCCTGCCCGTGGCATGCTGGGCCGCACTGGCCCCTTTCTTCCTTCCCCGCCCCTCCCTCTCTTCCTGCTCCCCTCCCTCACCCACCTCCAGGATCTCACCTCATGGCCTGCCTGCCTTTGCATTTTCACCCAACTGTCCGGTACCCTGGGTGTGGGTCCACCCAGAACCTGTCCAGAGCCAGCTGTCAGTCCTCCCACCTGCGCATTCCTTCGTCCTCGCCGATGCATCTCGGAGAGCAGGCAGGAGTGAGGAGTAAAGCAGGGATCCTTAGCACCTCTCACAAGCTGGAGAACTATACTGGAGCTCTGGAAACCCTGTCCACCCCGGGGCAGAGGAGGGCCTGCCGGAAGTGGCAGGTGCAGGCAGGCATGGCCATCCCTAGGCCTGCGGGACCACGGAGACTGGTCGGTCTGGGGAGCTGGGTGCAGAAGTTGGCCTGTCTGGGTTTACGTGGAGGAGGGCACAGCCCCATGGCTCATGAAAGAATGTTCCGTGACATTCCAAGTGCAGTATTCACCTTAACCCCGCCCTCCCCCACTCCCTTCCTCCCTGTCGTGGCCACCGCCTCTCATTGACTCTTAGAGTCTGAACACCTGCGACCCTCCCGCTGCCATCCCCATGGTTCTGCTGCCGCCTGAGTCACACAGGTGACTGGCCACGCTTGGGTGGATGAGCCTAAGTCCTGGGTGTGGCCGTGTGCCAGTCTAGGCCGGCCCTCATCATTCTTGTCTCTGCTCACCTCCAGGCTCCTTCTGCACTAGCGCCTCCTGGAACATTCTTTCCACCTGCCCTTCTCCTCAACCTCGCAGGCTTCCAGACGCATCCCCCCGCCAGAAAGCCCCCCTGGCTTGGCAGACAGGTCTCCCTGCGGGGCAGGCCTTGTGCCAGAGGCTTTATCACACACCTCCAGCGTCAGCTTCGCGCCTGCCGTGTGGTGGCACCAAATGAACGTTGATGCATGAAAGAGTTAATGTGTCTCAGTCGTCCCTGGAAAGCTTTCTGTGAGCAGTTTATTCTAAGAATTCGGGCTTCCCGGGTCAGCTTGCCTGGAAGGCCCCTGACTCCAGGCCGGCTCAAGGTAGTGACAGATCCTAGCAGTGACAGCAGCGTGTGCAGGTCCCCCTGTGAGATAAGAAAGGCGGGTTTCACACCGTCCAGCTCCGTTCCCGGAGTGAGGGTGACGTACAGGCCGTCGCCAGGAGCGCCACAGAGGCTAGGCGGGTCCCTTCTTACGCACCAGACCCAGCAAGGGAGAGGGGGGCAGAGACAGATGGAGATCCCACCGTGGAGACCAGCAGCCTCTAGGGCTTCTGGAACCCGTCCCGCTGCCTGTGATCAGAGAAGGACGTCGGGTTTCCTAGATGTCATGTTCCTAGTTCATGCTTCTTGGCCTCATGCTTCCTTCTGAACAGGATCGTTATGTGGCTGAGGCACTTTTCTGTCAAAACATTTTATATGTTATTTAAACAGCAAAGAACAGGCACGATTTAAATTCTCATTTTTTAGGCCTAAAATTAAAGCTCTACCTAAAATGAGGTGGTGTTGGGTTTTTTCGTGAAAATGTAGGTTTCGTTCAGATAGCAGAATCACAAATCATGCAGAACCTCAATATAATAACTAAAATATTTAAATTTTTAGAAAGTTATTGCACATGATTTAGTTTGTTCTCACTGAGTGCTCAGGGCTGGAGTGTGGCGCTCTCGTGTTTTAACGATCTTTTCTGTAACTGTCATTCATGATTGATGCGATCGAAAGCATAAGCGTGTTATGTGGAGTCTGTCGTTGGTTTGGTCTCCGCCTTCCACACCACTGATTTCATGCAGAAAGGGGGTAAGGAGAAAGACCGTGAGAGAAGTTCGCAGCACGACCCCATCTTGTAAGAAAAGATCTCTGCAACCTGTTTGGTTCATCTCACTGAAAATGTTAACATAAAGTCCCTGTTCTTGTAGTTTCTCCTTCTAATGAGCGTGTTCGAGATGTGAGCGACACAGGGATCTGCGCCGTGGACGGCCCAGCCACGGCGAGCTGGAACCTGGTCGTGGGCGGGGCAGCCCAGGGCTCCGGTTCTGTCTGCATAACAGATGGCCCTGCAGCCTAGCGGCTGGACCCACCCACAGTCAATTACTTCTCACACATCTGTAGTCGGACCTGGACTCCGCGGGCAGTTCTGCCGCTGCCCGTGGTCTGCAGGTGCCGGCCTGTGCAGGGTGGCTCAGGGCAGGACCTCAGCTGGCCTCCAGGAGGAAAGAAGCAGGAGCCGCCGGGCTTCGGCGAGGCTGGCCCGTAACTGGAGCAGACTCTTCTACCTTCGGTGCTGAGAAAAGTGACTCACGGGACGACAGATCCATGGGGAGGGAGACAGACTCCGCCTCTTCTGTGAGGCTCAGGGCACAGCCTGCAGGGAGGAGAGGTACTGATGGTTTCCATTTTGGAGACTGCCTCCAATAAGCAGGTTCTGGCTCAGTTTTTAGAGAGTCCTGATTCCTTTTTTGCTGGAAGAGTGAGAAACACTAGCCTACTACTCCACGTGCGTCTTTATGGTTTTCTTCCCATTCTGCACCTTCCTCTCCTGCTTCTCTTAGGGAAAGTAAGAAGGAGAACTATACCTGTTTTCTCTTAAATATACTTCAGGTCACGTCAAAATGATTGGAAACGAAGAATTTATCATGCTGTTTAAAGGCACCTGCACCCCAATGTTTATAGCAACAATGTCCACAATAACCAAACTATGGAAAGAGCCCAGATGTCCATCAGCAGATGAATGGATAAAGAAGATGTGTGTGTGTGTGTGTGTGTGTGTTTACAATGGAATACTACTCAGCCATCAAAAAATGAAATCTTGCTGTTTGCAATGACATAGATGGAACTGGAGGGTATTATGCTAAGCAAAATAAGAGAAAGACAAATACCGTATGATTTCACTCATGGAATTGAGTGGAATTTAAGAAACAAAACAGATGAACAAAGGAAAAATAAAATAAGATGAAAACAGAGAGAGACAAACCATAAGAGACTCTTTTTTTTTTTAAGATTTTATTTATTTGAGAGAGAGAGAATGAGAGATAGCACGAGAGGGAAGAGGGTCAGAGGGAGAAGCAGACTCCCTGCCGAGCAGGGAGCCCGATGTGGGACTCGATCCCGGGACTCCAGGATCATGACCTGAGCCGAAGGCAGTCGCTTAACCAACTGAGCCACCCAGGCACCCCAAGAGACTCTTAATCATAGGAAACCGAGGGTTGCTGGAGGGGTGGTGGGTGGGGGGATGGGGTAACTGGGTGATGGGCACATGATGTAACGAGCACTGGGTGTTACATGCAGCTGATGCCACACTATATGTTAACTAACTTGAATTTAAATTAAAAACAAAAAAACTAGCCCTGACAGAAAAAAGGAGACAAAGAATTTATCAAAAGAATATAGTGATGCTGATTTAGGAAAACAAAATGGCTTACAGCTGAAGGCGGTCCTTGTTCAAATGCGACAGCTGGAGCGTCTCGGTCCCCAGCGAGGCGGAGGCCCAGAGCTGAGCCCCGAGGTCTCCGGGCGCCTTGTGCAGCCCTCCTGCCTTCCCAGCTCTCCAGGTCGTCGAGGGGAGCGGTGACTCAGGGTGCGTGGCTGCACTTTATATAAAGCTCTAACTTTGCACATTGAAACTGAGAAAACAAGTGATGCACGAGAGAGCCCTCAGGTTGAGTTTCGTAAATTCAAGCGCTTCCGAGTGCAGACGCACCACGGAGGACAGGACTCCTGGGGGCCGGCTCCCAGTCTCCGGGCAGGTGCAGTGAGGAGGGCACCGGGAAGTCGAGGGCTGCATCCCTGCAGTATGACCGTACTGCCCACTTCTCACCACCCAGGTGCCCTGTGCCATCTGGTTAACTCCCTACCTCCCCTTCGTGCTGTGGCCACACTCATTTCCATGGCACTGTGGTTCTCTGCTCAGTGGCTGCAGCCGACCCATGTGAGGTGCTCGGGGGGCCCCTGCCGGTCTGCCTTGCTCGCCCCCTGCTCGCGTCCCACTCGCTGCTCCATTTGACGGACCTTCGCTCTAGTCCTGCCTTCTCCCTCCCGCTCCGTGCTGTCCAAACATCTGTCAGACCCTCCTTCACGGCCTGGTTCAAGCACCAGACCATCCGAGAATTCTGCCCATTCGACAATGTAGCAATCTTAAGGCCCACCCTTCAGGAATATTTCACGTCCTGTGGGTATTTGACCTGTTCTTTACCTTGAGGTCCCATGTCCGTTTGTTGCAAACAAGGACAACAAAATTTCAGAGTCAGATTTTTAATCATCTCAAACTCTTATTTTTGGCTTAGAGCTGTCTCTAAACTGTTCCTTGTTGATGGAGAGGCAGAAACCTTTTTCAGACCCCGCTCACGTCAGGCAGGCGCCCGTGCCTTGGCTGAGGCCAACTCCAGGCGAGAGCGGTGTGGGCGGGAGTGGGCTCCTGGCTTCTGAGGAAGTCCTCGGGGGGTGGGGAGACTTTGCCCTGCTGGTGTCCCTGTTCTCTCTCAGCATCCCCAGCCTGTCAACACATGTGTTCCAAGCGTGGGACAGATGCCAGGCCCCGTCCTAGCACTGGGGACACAGTGACAGAAAGTCCTCGCCCTGACCTCAGGCCGACCTCAGGTGTGGCCGGTTGCTGCAGGGGCCCCCAGGAGCCCACCAGGCAGGCACAGCGCAAGAGGCTTCTCAGAGGACACAAATCAGCTGCTCACATTGGGGTTCTGGGAGGTGGTGCTTGAATTCCACATGGGCGCCGTGGAAGCAGACAAGACGGCCCGAGTGGGCAGGAAAGGACTTCTGCCCTTGCACAGACCCGGCCAACTGTTGGAGGCTTTAAAACTGAGTAAGGCGTCAAGTTAGGTTGACATGGAGCAAAAAAGGAGGCCTGAGGGATGGGTCGTGGGATGTATGTGTGGTAAGACAGACGGCAAATTACTCATTGTCACATCTGGGCGGTTGAAGTAGGGGGGCTCACAGTGCAGACCCTACAGCCATTCTCTGTGTTTGAAAACATCCAAGATAAAATGTTGGGAGGACATTTGAGCAGGCCTGTGCGCTCTCCCCTCCAGGTCTTTGCACGCCACCACCCCGAAAGTGCATTTGTTACCTTTTTCAGAGGATTTTAGTCTTTTCAGCTGTTACTTCAGCGTCTGAATGGCACGTTGCTTCTTCTAGGTTTATTTATGAAACAGAGCATCACAACGGCATAGCAGAATTACTGGAAATCCTGGGGAGGTGAGTCGTCTCTGTTCCTGGCAGCCAGTGGAATTGATTCCAGAATGATCCAGTTCGCTGAGTCCAGCAGCCCTCCCCAGAGCGAGGCGATGAAACCGTTCCCAAAGGAACTGAGATCTCCCTTGATGGAAGGGGTTGGTGAGGTCTGGGGCTAGAAGCCACCGATGAGAAACCCTCCTGCGTGCCTGGCTCAGCGCGCAGATGCCGTTTCACACAGCTCATCGAAGACCGTTACCTTAAGAAGGTTTATGTGTGACACGTAGGAGAATGAATCATTTATTGTACACTGGGGGTATTGAGTAAATGCTAATATTTCAAATTGCTTTGATTTTATAAATTTTTCATGTGTCCTTAAAAGTAATTAACATTTCAAAAATTTTACCATCTTAAGCCAAGTGGAGTTCTTGCCTGCTATCATTTTTTTTTTTTAAATCAGTGACCTGTAGATTTTATGTCAGACCTCCAACCCCACTGTTTCCCAAATGGAGTTCCTCGGGGAACTCCCCCAGCCGAATAAGCTTGGAAGTGCTCTCCCCCAGCACCTTCCTTGGGGATTCAGCTGCACTGGCAGCTAAAGGTTCCAAGGGACCCTGCAGGGAGGGGAGCTCTGTCCACCCCCAAAGCTTTGGGAACACAGGAAGCCTCTCTCCGGGAACACTGGTGTCATCTGGTCAGTGAGAAAATCGTCCTTGCTGTTTTAGATATAATCTGAAAAAACCACTAGTCCTTGTGGAAAAGACTACTTTGACCTGTTTCAGCACAGTCAGTCGATTTCTCTCACTCAGTAGAGTGTGGTGAGCAGTCGAGGGGCCCTTACTAGCTGACCTTCCTTAACTAGTCCTGACCGCTGTTTCCTTAGTAAGGTGTGGGAACTCCACTCACCTCCTATGTGTTGTGAGGACGGCGTGAAGTGTCTGCACAGCCCGGCATGTCACGGAGAGGACTCTGTGCTCCCCACTGCTGGGATCGATAATTTTATCCTTCCAGAAGAGGTGTTTGACCTTGAGGGTCTGCCCCGCTGCGAATGAGCAGGTCATCCCTAATGCCCACTTCAGACGGGCCCCGCCTGCAGCACACACGTGCCCAGGACCCCTGGATGGTGCGGAACAGTCTGGAAATCACTGTAACTGCCCTGTAGCTCCAACACGTGTCTGTGCTTGCCAAAAATAAAACCAAACAAATAGTGAATAAGGAAGCCCCCCTCATCCAACTGAAAACCAGTGGAGAAACTACTTGACGTTAGACACAAAGCTTCAGTTTGGAGGCAGGAGTAAGACCCCCTTTCCTTGTAGAAGGGAGCAGCCTCCTGGCTGACTGTCACCCAACTCCCAGTCTGCATACTTGGACTCCCTCCCACCAGCATTAGAATAACGAACCCAGATTTCTCCAGAGAAGTGCAAATTTCTAAAAATGGGTGAAGGGCAAGGGAAGGTGCCAGGGGTGGGCAGACCCAGACGGGGGGTCCCACCTGAGCTGCCCGGCCTCTGCAGCCTGTCTAAAGAAGGAGGCTTTGCCCCCAGGGACTTGTGTTCTGGGTGTTGCCCTGTAAACCCAGAATTTTAGAATTATCTCATACGTAACAAAGATAAAAATGACTATGCTTCTTGGAAGGTATTTAGTTTTTTAATTTCTGCTAATATCCTCTGGTGCAACATATATTTTGCTTACCAATTTTTTTTATGCTGAAAACGAGAAAAAACCGGCAAGACATTTTTTTTAATCTGGAAATTGTAAATATTCAAACTTTGAATAAATTCTGTTTTCACAGTATAATTAATGGATTTGCCTTACCACTAAAAGAAGAGCACAAGATTTTCTTACTGAAGGTGTTGCTACCTTTGCACAAAGTGAAATCTCTGAGTGTCTACCATCCGCAGGTAAGGGGTGCCCAACGGTGACGCGTAGGTGGGGATGCACACTGGCACGGGGTCTCCGCGTGAACGTTGCTGAGCCCGAGACGCAGAAATCCAGCTTGTTACCTGGGAGTGCGCTCTTTGTTAGGTCGCATTGCTAGTGCTGGTTCTGGCAACTGAAAGGACACATGGGTCAAGAGATTCCCTTTTAAGAAAATCAGAAACATCTCAGGAATCGAGAATTTCAGAATTCTTTCTAAGCACAGAGAAGGGGGTGGATGACAGGCGTCAAGGGAACTTCTCAGAGGAAGTCACCCCCGTCCTGCAGGTGTCCTCCTAGCAGGAGTGGTGGTGCGGGATCAGTCCCAGGAAGTGTATTCTTTACCTGATTCTAAGCGCTTTGGCTTCCTGGGAAGTATTTTACTTCAAGGTTTTTTGTTTTTTGTTTTTTTTCTTCCTCCTGCTGTTGCTTTACCTCCAGCCAGATTGTTACCCTGTTGATCGTTCTACAGAAGAGATTAATAGTTCAGTATTTTAAGGTGGAACCAGATTTTAATTTGTTTTTTTCGAGCTGTTAGATTCCTTGTTGATTACAGTCTCCAAAAAGAGCGTGAGAAAAATCCCCATCAAACCTGGGCTGACTTGTCGATGTTAGTCCGAAAGACTGTTTCCTGATTTTTTTTTGGCTTTCTGCCGCACCCTGTCCCTGAGAGTTACCGCCCCCGGCCCGAGAGCCGGCAGGCCCGTGCAGGGGAGTCCCTGCCCGCCCCAGGGGGGCCACACCAAGGGGGTGGGGGCAGCGTTGCTGTGTTGAAGCAAGACACTAATAAGTCCCCTCCTGTACTTTGCAGCTGGCGTACTGTGTAGTCCAGTTTTTAGAAAAGGACAGCACCCTCACTGAGCCAGTAAGTATGCTCTCTGGCTGGGGCCTCGGTCCGGGTGCCGGCGCGCCCGTGATGTGGTGTGGGGGCATCCCCAAATGTCAGTGTCGCCGTGGCTCTGCTGGCCAGGTAGCTGCTCGGACCACTTTTTCCCCCGGAAGTCACACTGCTAGACACGCTGATTTCCCTGCCGTGTTGTGTGTTTTCAGAGTGTGGTGACTTTATTACGAGTTCCTTTACTGCGGTGAGGATGATTTCATGCGCCCAGATTGCCGTCTAGTCTGAGCTGGACCTTAGTTCCCTGAACATGAGGCGCTGGCACGGGCACGGCCGCTGGACTGCGCGCCATTGAGCACGTCCCCATCTTGGTTTAAGGATGCACAGCTGCCTTCGGTCCTAGCCGTTGTAGTGAGTTCTCGAAATGCTTGGGCTGGAGAGGTTCTGTGAGCTGCGACATTCCTTCCAGGTTCAGGGGTAGCTGCTCCGTGATCACTGCATCACCAGCGCCGGGTGGCTGCCCTGGAGCGTGTAGATTTCCGGTTTTCTTGGCCGGTTATCTTGACCAAAAATGAAGGACTGCCATAGCCTAGACTACCCAAGATGAGCCTGTCGGGGGCGGTTTAAGCATTTGAATACACGTTTTTTAATAGCTTTATTGAGATATAATTCACATACCATACGCTTCACCCATTTAAAATGTACAATTCAGTGGCTTTTTGGTATATTACGTCATTGATTTTTTTAATTGTGCTACATACATGCAGCATAGAATTTGCCGTTTTCACTGTACAAGCAAGTGGCATTAATTACATCCCAGGGCAGCTGGTTGCCACTGTCCCCAGAACTTTGTTGTCGCCCCAGCAGAAGCTCTGCCCCCCGAAACACCGACTCCCGCTTCCCCTCCCCCCCACCGGTTCCCCAGGACGTCTCACCTGCTTTCTGTCTCCACGAGTTGGCCTCGTCCGGCGCCTCACGTGGGTGGGATCGTGGCAGTTGCCGTCAGGGCTCCGACACGCCGTGCCCGTGTCAGAACTCCATCCCCGGCGTGGCGGGATAGAACCCTTGTGTTTTGTTCATCCGCTCCTCTGTCGCTGGACGCTGGGGTCGCTGTGAACGTGGGTGTGCAGCGCTCTGCGCAAGTCCCCGCTCTTGGTCCCATTGATTGTTCGGCTTGGGGTGAAGATGCCGGGCCAGCTGGTGATCCTGTGTTTAGCTTTGTGAGGAGCTGCCTCACTGTTGTCCGCTCTCTCTGCATCCTTGCCGACTTTCGGTGTTGTCCCTTTTTTTTTATCCTAGCCATCTGGTGAGTGTGCAGTGGCGTCTTTCGGTGGCTTTTTGGTTTGCATTTCCCTCACAGCTGAAGATGTTGGGCATCTCTTCATACACCTGTTGGCCACCTGTCTGTGGACAAACGTCTTCAAATCCACTGCCCATTCTCTATCAAGTGGGTTGTTTTTTACTGTTCAGTAACAAAGTAAGAAGTACTGAGTGCCAGTTGCAGTGTTTGAGTATTCTTTTCACAGTTACTGTTGGAATAGAAAAGGCAAATGTCATCGTTGCAGCATCTTCTCTGTCCCCGTGGCCGCCTCCACGACGGTCCCGTGAGGTCCTGAGTGTTACAGTGGAAGTACGTGGGAAATCCTTAGTGCTCTGTTCCTTGGCTACACCGGCTCCTGATCTCTGCCTTCTTCAGAGCTTCTGAGCCCCGTGCATAGTCACCCACCAACTCCGGAGAAGCCCTCGGCCACGTCCCCGGGTCCCTGCACGCCTCTGCCTCAGCTCTGTCTGAGATTCCGGAAGCCCCCAAGGAAAGACGCCAAACTTACCAGACTTTAGTATCAAACCCCGAGTGTTGACTCCAGATCAGGGTAGGGTCATTTTTATCCCCCTTGACTAAACCGAAGACGTGTCTCTGGGGGGAAGGACACGTGAGGTGGCCCCAGTGATCAAGCCTCTTGTCCAGTGGTGCCACGTCCTCAGTCCCTCTGTCTGTGTTGAGGGGCGGCTCCCCACTAACGGCTGGCGACTGTTACCAAAGACGTAGTATGGGAACAAATTGTGACACACACCTTGCCTTTTCTACCTCAAAAATAAGAAGGGAAAGAAAAACACGGAAGGAGACAAAAAGCATGCACTTTTCTTGTATGACTTTTCTCTGTGTGTATTTCTCACACTCTCCAGGGGCTAAAGAATCCATGAATCGTTGCACCGCGTTCACCGCGGGCCAGGCCCCCGCCGTAGTGCCCCGGTCCCCAGCCAGGTCTGCCACAGCCCGAGTCCTTCCTAATCCTGCCCCAGCGCACCTCTGTTCTCTCCTTCCCCTGAGACTGACGTGAAAGCTGACAGTGGTTTGCGGGAGCGGGAGCCCTTGGCTGCGGTTGTATGACGGAAGGAGAGGGGCGGCCACTGGCTTCCGCTGGGTCCCTCTGTCGTAGATCGGAAGCTCGGAGTTGGCACAGAGAAGCTTCAGGCCCCAGGATTGCCACCCAGATCCGCTTTGTTCCCTAATCTCCTGCAGCACAGACAACATACTAGTACTCTCTGGACCACAGGGAGCAGATTTTGTTTTCTGCACTTCAAAAACGTGCAGACCCTCACCTCGGTGAACTCCTTTCTTTGAAATTCCCATAATATTTCAGCACTGAAAGCTTGTCGACAATAAGATGAATGGGGTAAAGGCTTGTGAAGGTGTGCATCCACTCGGCAGCACTGAGAAGAACACGGCACCTGCGGGGGTCTCCGGGTCCTGGACCCAAGGCTCTCCTGAAGTCAGTGTGGCCAAGGTCGGGAATGTTTAAAGTACGATCCGTTCAAAAGACCTGCATCACTCCTGTTCAAGGTCTGCAATTAATATTTTTATTTGTAAACTGTATACAGTGCTCAGAAACTTTCTTGAACACGTAACGCTATTGTACGAAGAATAGGAGCTCATCAGATTGCGGATGGGAAGTAAAATCACGTTGTCACTTGCCTGTTTCTTCAGGATAATCGACTTTTACTACAGGGCCCGGTGGGAACCCTCTTTTTCCCTGGTGTGTCGGGGAGGGGCTCGCCTGTCCTCCCCAGCCCTGTCCAGAGAGCGGCAGCTCTCGTGTGGAGGAGAGCTCAGCGTGTGACCCGTGCCCAGCAGCACACAGCCACTTTTGCCTAGATTAGCTTTACCAGGCAGCCCCCTCTTTTGCAAAATGCTGCCGCACTCTGAGCCCATGGTATTGACCATAGCTCGCTCCAAATAGTGTGATACCTTGGTCCGGCGTGGGGCTCCGATTCCAGAAATAAAACCTCTTCCAGAGACATTGAATAGCTAAACCAGTTGTGTTTTGTATCTCACATGCTAATGTATTTTTCCTAATAAAGTATCATTTGCCAAAATGGCAAGGAAGAGTGCGTTTGTGAAGTGATTGGCATCTGCTGTATCCCCACACTGGGGAGTAGTAGGTGCTCACTAAATGTCTGTTCAGTGGTTTTGATCGAAAAGTAGGACAAAAATCATTAAATGCTAGATTTTTTAAGGAAATCCTTTTAGAGATAATCATGTTGTAAAGTTTTACGTCAGACTCCAAAACTAGGAGCACTGTCTTTTTTATAAATGTTGGAGTTTTATAAAGCGTAATATCATGAAAGATCACCCCGGAGCCTGAAGGCCGAAAGCATTGAGCAGAGTTGTTTGTTCGGAATGGATGTTGCTCAAAGGCCTGCGGTGTTTTTAACCACAGTCAGGATGTCACCTGGCCTGCCGGGCGGTCGGGCGCTGTCTGCAGGGCTGTGGAGGGCTGGCCCGTGGAGGCCCCCCGCCAGCCCAGAAAAGCTGGCACTTGCCGTGATGGCTAGGGGCTGGGGCAGTGGTTCCTGAAATGGCCGTGATGGGCCTCGGCCGTGCGTGTGCCGGCGTGCACGTGGGCTTGCATGCAGATGTTGTGGGCCCTTGTACTCTTTTAGAATGAAGTCAGCTAAACTCTAGAAATGTTACTAACCCTCACCGAGCTGAATCTGATACTCTGGGAACGATCTTTACTGGTGTGGTTGTGGTAGGAAATTTGGAAACTATAGGGGTGAGATAAAGAAAGGTTGCCCCGCAGAAACTTTTTCTACCTGTCTGACTTGGGCAAGGAAGGTAACGTCCAGTCGCCGGGAAGGAGGAAGGCGCCGCCGACCGGCTGAACATGCCTCGCGGGCGCAGGTGGCACAGATGCTCTGTGGCGGGGTCCCACGGGCCAGCACCCCTCAGAGGCAAGGTCCTCCCAGCCTCCGAGGCAGTTACCAGCCCAGGGTCACAGGTCATGTGCACAGAGGGCAGCAGGGCCCAACCCCAGGTCCCTCTGCAGCCCCGCTCGGCGTGAGCTAACAACATCAACTTATTTCATGTCTCCCTCTTCTGATTTATTTTAGCACAATCGAAAACACCACGTGTACGCACACAGTATGCACTTTTGTGTAGAAATATATATGAACAACCGTTAGTTTGAGACAGAAACAGATTGTGCATATGTGCGACTTGCAGCCTCAGAGCAGACCGCTCCTGCACAGAAACGAATATACGAATTCATACGCCCCGTGTTTCTCCGTTATTCTTTTTCTCTCTCAACCCTCCTAACTGCTTATTTTTTATCTTCTTTTTTTTCTAAAGGGACTGACTGCAGTGGTGGTTAATCAGAGGGAGCGGGTCACATTAAAGTGGTGATTCTTAAGTATATAAAATTAGATCCGTTTCTCTGATTCTAAAAAGCCCACGTGCTGATTTACAGCGTGTCTCTTCTTTCTACAAGGAAGGACGCACCCTGATTCTGTTGCTTTGCTTGGGGGACACGTCAATGAAACACAGACGGGCGTCACGCTGTGTGTTTTTTCTCTGGCAGGTGGTGATGGCGCTTCTCAAATACTGGCCAAAGACTCACAGTCCAAAAGAAGTCATGTTCTTAAATGAATTAGAAGAGATCTTAGACGTGATCGAACCGTCGGAATTTGTGAAGATCATGGAGCCGCTCTTCCGGCAGCTGGCCAAATGTGTGTCCAGCCCACACTTCCAGGTACGGAGGGCGGGGAGAGAATGGCCTCGTTTGGAGTCCCCGTCGGAGGTGACCAGCTTCAGTGCGTTGCTGTCACACTGTGCTTGTCGTGTGGTTTGAAGGGAGATGGCCAGTTTAGTCGTACTTCAAAATAAGATGCTAAGTCGCTAATTCTATGAAACAGTTGAGCATCTCGAGCGCATCACTGAACACCTGTTTCTCACTAAGAGTAATTAGAACTGGCTCCCCTGTAAAGCCTTCTTTGTATTTTTGTTCGGTGTGCCCCAAATGCATAAAACCTCGCTTTCCGCAACTGAGTGACGGACACTTGTAGACAAACTGTTCAGCCCTGAAACTCCCCATCCACAAGCACTTGTTTCTGATACATACACATTCCAACTTTTGTCCCCCCCCCACCCAAATCCTGTGTGAGGGGGGCTTCAGTCACATGCCACTCTCCTCTCCTGGGCTTCTCATTCAGCCTCGTTCAGGGGTCGTCGCCAGGACCTTGGTTCAGCCCGTCTGCCTCCCTTGGACGTGCTGGCGTGTACTGTGAGCTCACCCCGAGCAAGGTGACCCCTCTCTTGGCCCCCTTCCGTGCTGCTGTCTGCCACGTGGACTTTCACTTCTGGGGAATTAATTCTCCTATTATTTGTCTCCCCCGCTAAAACCTAAGCTCCACGAGGGCAGGAGTTCTGCCTCACCTCGTCCACTCTTGACACCTCGGCACCTCCTGGACCCGCGACGGAGGGGGTGGGCGGAAAGAGCATGTTTGGCCTGTGTCCTCTGCATGGAGCCCAGGGCGCGCCTAAATATTTCTTGAATGAGTGGAGAAATGAGGAGTGTGTTCATGATGGGCAAGAAAGCATCTGCCCTTTTGTCGAGGGCTCTTCAGGATGACGGTTTCGAGTGTGCTGGATCTGTGGAGATGATTGGCTGACCCAGTAGAATTCATCACCTCCACAGGCAGTCGTGGAGAGGGTCCTGCTGAGTGAGTATTTGTCATCACGGTCACAACATTGTGCCCTTTCTCTTCCAGGTGGCGGAGCGAGCGCTGTATTACTGGAACAATGAGTACATCATGAGCCTGATCAGCGACAATGCAGCAAAGATCCTACCCATCATGTTTCCTTCCTTGTACCGCAACTCCAAGACCCACTGGAACAAGTAAGAAAGGGGGCTCCTGGGTGGCTCAGTCGGTTAAGTGTCTGCCTTCGGCTCAGGTCATGGTCCCAGGGTTCTGGGATCGAGCCCCGCATCAGGCTCCCTGCTCAGCGGGAAGCCTGCTTCTCCCTCTCCCTCTGCTGCTCCCCCTGTTTGTGCTCTCTCTGTCAAATAAAATTTTTAAAAAATTAAAAAGAAAAGAAAAGAAAGACCTGGCTGTCCACTGGGGCATTTGAAATTTCCTGTATCTCAGTGAAACTTAATTAGGATTGAAATCCAAGTCCAGAATGTCAGTTTAAAAAGGAAACGTTGATTTCTTTGTGGGCTTACAATTAGGGTCAAGTGTGGGTTGTATCTGTGGCCTTTTATTTGCCTCCTCACCCCCATTTCAAGCCAATACGGAGGCGCGTTGGCTGGCGCCCACTGTGCCTGGCCGCAGCAGCAGCCGTGTCTTCCAGGCCTCATCTCAGATCCCCTCCAGATGGGCTGAAGGTCGCTGCAGAGCTCGCGGAGCTCAGTCCCTGCAGGAGCATGGTGGCCACCCCGTTCTCGGGGGCCCTGCGCCCTCGACCAAGAAAATTAACATTAACATACAGAAGCACTTTGTAGCGACCTTCACCTTGTTGAGAAGGTGAATGCAGGTGCAGTCAAGGTACAGAAAGTCCCTGGCCCCTGACAGGCATCTGGCGAGCGTTCGCCATCAGCACGCGGCTGTGGGGGTCACTGGGGCACTCCTGGCACCACCCAGCAGACCTCATCAGTGTATCGACTGTCAGCAGCCTTTTCTTGGCCACATTCATTTTTTATTACGCGCAGCAGGTGGTAACAAAGGCCTCGGAGCTCAGCCACCGTCCCGTGTGTCATATAGTACGAGGCAAGGACAGCCGTGACTGCTCCCTGTTGCAGAGAGAAGTGTTACTCCCAAGTGTTTCCAAATACGAGTTGGGTTCTGTCATGAAGTGAGTTAAGAAGTCGCTGTGAATCTACGTCAGCAAAAACAGCAGTAGTCCTGGCAGCCATGAGAGCAGTTGTGGGGTGAGAGTGGAGTTTTCCGCGGCTGTCGGCAAGGCCGTGGGCTGCCCGGGCTCTGCGCTGCGGTCCTGCCGCCTGTCTCGCCGGGGGGTCCCATGTGGCTGTCGCCTGATGGCAGGTGGGACTGGCGTCCTCTTCAGGCTGCACTGGGCCCTGGAGCAGCTCTGCCTCCCCCTCTCATGGATGTCAGAGCCGGGAAGCGGAGTTTCATTAAGTCATTCCATGCTGATTTTATTTTCTGCCTTCCAAGGCTCTGTTTTGGCACTATTAAAAACTTTCCTGCCCTTAATTAAAAAGATGAAAAGGAAACTGACGTTTATAGGAAGTAAAATGTTTCCATTATTGTCCCCTACACATTGCTGTTTGTCTGAATTCTACTTTTTCAAGTGTCAACGTTTTTTATTCCATTTCCACGGAAGGTGGCTTTTGGCTGCTGTCAGCCAGGACAGAAAGCAAGGGCCAGTCAGGTGCGCCTCGCAGGCTGCGTGGACGCAGATGCGTCCAGAGTACCAGGCTTTGGTTGGAAAGCCCAGGGGTGTGAGATGTAGGGCCACCACAGTAGCTGGAGGGCTAGGGGGCAGGGGCTGTGGCTGAGGAGGGCAGGGGGGTGGACGGAAAGATGGAGGGTTCAGACCCTGAACACCAAGGTCTACTCACAGGACAATACACGGCTTGATCTACAACGCGCTGAAGCTCTTCATGGAGATGAACCAGAAACTGTTTGACGACTGCACCCAGCAGTTTAAAGCAGAGAAACTGAAGTAAGTTGCTCCTCTCAAAAGCTACTCTTCCAAGGATTTTGTCATCCTCAGTCCTGAATAAACCTCTTGCATGGGTGTGTCCTAAAACATTCTTCACTTTAAAGCAAAATCAGTTCTGTCATACTCGAAAAACAAATGAAAATGTTTGTGACATTAACTTGTTTTCGGAGAACATCGCTGTTCTCTCCATTATGCTACTAGTTTAATCACTTCTGCAAAACGGTGTGCAGTCAAGAATTTAACTTTCCCGAGGAACACCGAGAGGTCGAAGGTATAGGAACTTCTCAGGTTTATAAGGCAGGAATTTGAATTCTGTCCCATGAGCTTTACATGAAGGGGCAAGCATCTTCACCTCAACATAGTTTTAGCCCATTTAACGCGGGCCTTTCCAGGAGCCTAGCCAGTGTCCTTCACAAAATCAGGGCCCTGCTCTCACGCTCGAGGAGGGTGTCACAGTCAAGCCTGGGCTCTGGGCAGATTTTCTTGTTTGCTTGTCACTTGAAGCTGGCTAAGAGAGAGAAACTTTGAACGAGTGTAATTCGAATTATGGGACATACATAACCAGCTGTCCTGTGCACACTTTAAACAGCACGTACGCATTGACCCGTACGTCAGGCCCTGTTGTAGGTTCTGACCGCACAGCAGTGAATATAACAAAAATCCCTGCCCTCGCGGGTGGTGTGGAAAGGAAAGACAGACATACACGTGAGGGAGACACACTGTGTTCGAGGTGTGGGCTGCAAGGCAGGGAAGGGGCCCAGGGTCACATGCGTGTGGAGCCTCCCGGGCTCCCGATCTCAGGCCCGTGCTCCCTCAGAGCTGAGCACCGGGTTCACCTGTGCCTTCCGCCTTTCACATGGTGAATATCTTAGCTTTCTGAAAAGGATCTTAAAGATCATGCAGCACATTCTCCGGATTTAAAAAAAAAAAAAAAAGGTTGGGTCCCGGTGAAGGGATTTACAGAAGGTCGCCTGACTCACTAGCAGTGGGATCTGATGAGAACCAGGTTTGAAGACTTCCTTTTTAAAGCCGTCCTTGTTGGGATGTCAGCCCTTAATCTCAGTTCCCATATGCCATGGAATGGTCTCACTTTTCACGGCTCCACGAGCTCGTCTTCAGAGTTATCCAGGTTCTCCGAAGAAGCAGCTAAAGCAGGAAGGATGCAGACCTGAGATACTCGTATAAGTGCTCCTAGGAACCTACAGCCTTCAGCATGCTCTTATTGTAGCGTATTTGTTAAACCTTTTCCTTTAAGTCTGGCTTGTTTTTCTTGTTTCGTTTTCCGTGTCACATCCTGTTGTGCTCACCACTGTGAAGCTTGCGGAGTAAGACCAGAAGTGACGGAGGAGAGTAGGTGACTGTTGCTGGTCATGTCAGTTTTGCCTCTCTCCTTCCCTTGTGTGTGATCCATGTCTCTAATACCTATGACATTTTACTATTTTTCAGAGAGAAGCTAAAAATGAAAGAACGAGAAGAAGCGTGGGTTAAAATAGAAAATCTAGCCAAAGCAAACCCCCAGGTACTAAAAAGAGTAACATGAAAACGTCTAGGGTGTTACTTGAATGTTTTTATGAGCTAGAAATGTGGCTTCCTCACGGGAGGGGGGGGGGGGGGGGGGGGGGGCGGTCTCACTACCTTGTATATGGAAACGTCTGCAATAAAAGTACTTCTCGACTTTTGTACAACTGATTTTTGCCCCACAAAGTTTTTACCACAGAATTGACCTTTTTTTCCTCTCCGCTTTTTCAGTAAGATCTAAATCTTATCAATAGACTGTGGTGAAAAGAAAACCAGGGTACAGCCTCTATTTGGGGGCCAAGATTGCAGTTTGCTTTCTCCCCGCAAATGTCACAGACGCTCTCGCTCAAACGATACGTTCCATTCGAAAAGAAAAACAGTGAGATTTGAAATAGATGAAGTACGAAGTTGGGTATCCTTTTTCCTAAAACCAGGGTCCTGTAGGCTGAGCCTTCGATTGTTAAAAATTGCCTGACTTCTGTCATGTTGGCCACTGACCCTTTCTCCCCTCCTAGCTAGAAGGCTCCAGTGTGCTCTGGCATGCAGGCGCACACGCCGTGTCTCCCACAGCCACCTGCAGGTGAAGCGGAATCCTGCATAGCGCCCACCATGGGGCCGGCGCCCGGGGCAACTGGCATCCAGGGGTTCTGAGCTGGGTGGTCTTTGGTGTTCTGTCCGCTGGTCCAGATGGACTGGAGCGCTGTCCTGGCAGGTGCTCCTCCTGGTTCAGGGCCTGAGAATCCCTGGGGTGTGTCTTCGCCACAGGCACTGTCCCCAGGCTGTCCTCAGCCTCCCAGAAAAGACAAGACAGTACTTTATGAGAACCACAGAGCTACCCTTAAAATCCTAAAGGGTTCGTTCAGGTGAACTGGATTACAAGCAGTCTGTTTTCTTGGGTGAGAGGCGTGCATAAATCGTTCACTAAGTGTATTATGCCGGTTTTTCAGTCTGACATTTCCTAAAAAGTGACACATGAACACAAGGTTTAGACGTATGTGTTTGATCTGTGTAACGTATTGATTGTATTCCCCTGGATAAAACCACATTCAGGAAACTTAAACCTTCGGAAAATGGAATGACTCTCTTAAGTGAGGTCTCGGTCCCCACGTGGAACAACCCGGCAGCGTCTCCCTTACAGCATCTGTTCTGTGCTCTTCACAGAAACGCCGTTGTAAGGTGACCGTGACCCCCCGTGAGTGCCCTGTGCAGGTAGACAACTCCCAGGACCTGCTGTAAGGAACAGAATGTGAGGTGAAAATACTGACATTTGTTTTTAAGACACAGGAACAGCAGAAATCTGGGGCAGGTGGGGGCAGAGGGGCCCTGCCTGACGGCCGCGGGAGACAGCTGGCGGAGACCCTGCCCCACGTGCACGCAAAATCACGGGAAATACACACAACTCAGAGAGTCTGCTTGTATCTGTTTTGCCAAGAATATAGAAACAGTCTCATGAGAACCCGCACAAAGCTTTCCTGTTACAGACGGGAAAGAGCTGGTTGGTTGTGTAACAAGCGTGGCCTGGTTTCACTGCTGGGCGGTAACAGGTGTCCCTTCTGAAATAGACACTGTTCTCATTTCCCTTTTTCTGAGCTTCTCCTGAGTTTTCCTACACGACGTTTTTACTCCTCTGGGCTGCTCTCTGTGGTGTCCCAGGCGGGCGACAGCAAACACGCCCGGGCTCTGCCTGCACTCACTGGGTGCTGGGCTGACCGTCTCCCTGTTGAACCGTGTGTGAGTCAACCCCCGTGAGTCCTGTCTGCATGCGCAGTCCCCGGTGCAGTGTCTCCCAAAGGAAAATACTTCATGGGCTAATAATGTCTCAGAGCTGAAAAGCAAGGACTCGGGACTTGGTTTTCACCTGAGAGAGAGGGAATCTTTTCTAAATTCCAGTCACTGCTTGCCATTTATAACAACGACACCAGAAAGTAAATAATTGTGTGGACCAGTACAGCCTGTTTCTTGTCTCCATCATGAAAACAGTGGGGTCTTTCAAGCGTGGCTCTCCGTCTCAGATCTGCCCCCTGACCTGTATCTGGAAGTCTCCCCGAGGCCCCGGCTCAGCCTCGGACGTGTGCCATCTGTTGCGCTGGGCTTGGGGAGTCGGCGGCGCCTCCAGAATTTTCAGTAGTGTTTGTCGTAACGGTTGTGGCGGCTCCATTGGAGTTTTTTAAGGTCACGCAGGGTTTAATTTGTTTAAGTCATGGAATATTGAGGATTTCTAACATAAATGTGTTTTCCTAGTCCACCAAAGAGGCCAGGGAACATTTTGCTGCTTGCTTCTCCCTGCCTTTGGTCGGAATTGTGTGAAATGAAGACAGGCCCTTCTGTGAACCTTGGGCTCGGGGGAGGCCCGGGACGCGGGGCCCAGCTGGCCGCTTTCCTTTGAGAGGTGGGCTTCTCTGGGTGACATGTGTGTTCCTTTACCCTGCTGTGGACTCCAGCCTCGACAGAGGTTTTTATTCCTAGTAAGAATCCGCTCCTGCCGTTGCCTGCAGTGTGGCTCACACTTCACTGGACCATTTTGCAGCATTCTTGTTCATTCTTCCCTTTGCCCTGAGTGCCGGTGAGAACTGTGAGCCCCACGCTGCTCTCGGCATGGGCCTGATGAGTCGTGCGGTCACTTGTGCGTCTGTGAGCCCCTGGGGGCGCGGGGCGGAGCAGGCAGCCGCTTCACTTGGCAGATGGGCACCAGCTGGGTGTCCCGAATCATGGAACTTTCCCAAGATACAAAGATGAGAACAGGACACAGCTCCAAGGAGCTTAGGGATCCATGAGCGGAGCTAGACGGAGGCAAAGAGAATTCATTTCAGATGGTGAGATTATAGCACCCCCGGGACGCAGAAAGCCAGCTGTGCGATGGCTGCCGTCGAGGTGTCCCCCGCAAGAGACTTGGAGGGGAAGTCTCAGCTACCCAGTCTGAATCTGGGGAAGGTCCTCGAGGAAGGAAACTGAGTTGTTGAGCACAGGTGGACTGTTAGCCATGGAGGAGGGGCTGGGTGGGATCCGTACTTGGGACGCAGCTGGAGAGAGAACAAGTGTGGATTTTCAACCCCAAGAACGGGTGCAGGTGTTAGGGTCCTAAAGGGCAAAGTGGCCCAGTCAGACTTGGATTCCAGAAGGTTCTTTCTGGCAGCGATACGTTTGGTGTCCTGGAAGGGGCTCTCAGGGTGTGTGGCGGTGGTGGTGTTGGTCAGAGTGGTGGGCAGAGGGCCCTGGGGCACCTGGGCGCCCAGCGGCATGGGAAGGAAGGAGCCGGCCGGGCCGAGGCTCCACGGCCACGGACTTGCAGCTGGCAACCGAGCTGTTGGACCGAACCAGGTCGCAGAGTTTGGCTAGAGGGCTAAGATGCCAAGGGTGTGGACGAAGGGGTGGGATTGATAACAGGGTTTCAGCGAGTTGGAGCGAGGCACGAAGGAGTGAGGTCGGCAGGTGCGCGCAGCCTGGGAGGTGAGGGGAGCCTGTGAGTGTGAAGCAGTTCAGGTGAGCACGTGGACTCAGGTGCCAAGGCTGCCAGGCAGGGTGCCGCCGCACCATCCCTCGGGCCCCAGGGACCAGGGAGGCCTTGGAGGGGGTGCTGGAGCCTACGTCACACTCCCACCTGGTGCCACCGGGCCTAGAAGGGCCTAGAAGAGTAGAAGTGTTCTGGTTTCTGAGGTGCTGCAGGTATAGGCTGGTTTAATTGCCACTCAACGGGCTTCATTCAGGAGAGGGCCCTGGGGAGGGCGCCAGTGGGAAAACGTGCCCCTGGCCAGGTTGAGACCCTTGCAGCTCAGAACCTGAGCACCAACAGAGAGTGATTCCGCACTTTGCATTGCAGTACGCAGTGCATAGTCAGGTGAGCGCCGTGGCCATTCCAGTTGGCGTGGAGACAGATGGGCCTCTACTTGAAGATGTGCAGACGCTGAGAAAGGCCCGGAACGAAGAGGCTCGCCAGGTAAAAGTGCACAGAGCTAAGCCGGCACGTGCCCGTGGTAGACTTGCATAAGAAACGCATAGAATTTTAGGAGGTGATGTGATCTACATCGGTGCCTTCTGTGCAAGCTCAAGCTAAAAACTAAGTTTTGGTAAGCTCATGGGAGGTACTTTGTCCACGCATCTCAGTGAGTAAACTACTAGAAATCATTTGAAATCTGAGATTTAAGTATTTTCTTCATTTATATTAACAGTAACAATCTCAGCTCCTGACCGTCCCTTGAAGGTTATTAACCTGAACAAAAAAAACAGCCTCTTCGAAGGGTGGAAAGTGGCGTCTCCCACTCGTGCTGCGGCACGGAGAGTCCCCTGCCCACCACCCACGGCAGTCCCCGGGGCCCAGGCCTCCTCCCTGACAGCAGAACCACGCTGGCTTGCAGAAAGGGTCAGGAACCGGGGACCCCCGAAGGCTGGGGCCTTTGTCGGGTTAACACCTGTGCTCAGGCGGTTTGTCCCCACGGTGGTGGAGATACATATTCAGATCCCCGCTGATCCAGAGATAGACTCTCATTACTAAATTGGGAATATATACAATTTAGGCTTTAAAGAGGGAGAGGCCTTGCCTGTGCTTTGAGGAGCCTTTCGCTGGCCGTGTTTCTCCGAGCGTGCCTGCCACTCTTCAGTCCATGGAAACTGGCGCAGTCTTGACCGGATTGGGGGGGTGGGGGGGCGGGCAGGGGCCTTTCTGACTTGACACCTTAAGCCCCTGCAGCCTGCTTGAGAACTCCTAACGACACCCAGTGCCGAGATGCTGAAGTGCGAAAGGTCAGTGGCTAGACTCTGCTGTGCGCTGGATGCAGGCGGTTTACCAATGCTCTTGTCATTTGGAACTCGCTTAAGCAGAGGTTTTAATTCAAGTAAATTTCACTCCCCATCTGATCAGACGGGCTCGGGGCCTCCACCACCCAGACTGCACTGGCCCGACTACGGCCCCAAGCCCCACGGGGCTGCTGAGCGCTCAGTGTGGCCATCCTCACTGAGCTGCGCTGTGCTAATCGTCTACAGCACGGGAATCCCTGGGCTCGACGGGAAGAAGCGAACGCAAAACTCTCTCATTCGTAACTTTTTACTATTGATTGTATGCTGAAATGTTAGCATTTTGGATATATTGGGTTAAATTTAAAAACGCTATTAAAATTAATTTCACTTATTGCTTTTTACTCTTTTAATGTGGCTACCAGGGCATTTGGAGTCCCATGCTTGGAACATGTTATTTTTCGATTGGACAGCACTGGTCCAGACTCCTTTTTCACAGAGCTGCCCGAAGAGGGCGGCTGCGCTGACCACGTGCATGCCGCTTCTTGGCCCGGCCAGCTCCCAGCCTTAGCGTAAGATCAAAACTTGAAAATACCAAAAATACAGTGAAGAGACTGTGTGACTGTGTCATGCTCCTAGTGAATGTCAGTAACTTATTTTTACTTAGTTCACTTGGATTCCATAATTGTTAGCAGTGAAGAGATTTAATAAAAAAACCCAAAAATCCTTCTATTTTTCCCTGTCCTGGCTGGGGGGGGGGGGGGGTGTTAATTTCCCTACTTCATTTTTTTTTTAACTGGGACAGGAATTTGAGGTCATTTTTTAAATTGCCATTTTGTGATTTTTACGGCTTCAAGCGCACTAAAGACATGAGAGCTCGCCCAGGCCTTACAGACCCAGAGGATATCAAATCAGCGCCCCTCGTACCAGAAAGCCTGCCCGGGAACCTGTGACCACATCAGTTTTTAAGTCACGTAGACCCTTCAGTGATGGATAGGAAACTGATGGTTTACAAGCCAGTTCATATGCGTTAAATATTTGGGGTTTGGAGGTTTTGGGGGGGTTTTGGTCCATTCTTGGGTCCAGTGCAGGTCATAATGAACACTAGGAAAAGAATAACCTATGTCCAAAATGTAATGAACACATAAATTATGGTCCTATTTATGATTTAGGGTGACTCTACGAGGACCCAAGTATTTGATCAAGAAGGCAAACCAAAATAGCATTCTCATCTTGAGTGGAAAACTGCCTCTGAAAGTCGGCCCGAGGATTTATGTGATAGCCGGTCCCTAGAAAACGCCCCCCTGGTTTATCTATCCCCTGCCCTCAGCACAGGGCATATGTCCTTCGCTATAACGTGAAGCGGTCAGTCTCTACTCATCCACTCACTTGGTTCCGAGTAACGGGAGGCAGACAGGGCATTTCCTGCAGAACTCCTGTAGCCTGTTTGTTTGCATGACTCTTGCAAAAGGGGTAACTAACTTTTCTGCATAATTATTCCCCCACTCTTACCTCTTAGATCTCTATGATCACGCAGACTTGGCGTTAAAATACCGGTTCTTCCCAAGTTAATGCAATCTCGGAATCCCAGCATACTTTTTTTTTTTTTTTAATGACATACGGATTCTAAAATTCATATGGCAGCACAGAGGACCCAGAATAGCCAAACAACTTCGAAAAAGAATAAAACTAGACTAATACTACCCAATTTTAGGACTTGTTATAGATTTCTATGGATCAATTGTACACCCCCCCCATTTTAACCCAACTAGGTGAAGATATTTATAGTGCAGTCTTTTCGGTATAATATTTGATATAATAGACTCTCCTGAATTTGAAAAATGTTGGGGTCCTGTATTCCTGAAATTCTCAAAAACACTGTTGTTAAAGCAAAGAGAAAAATACCTAGATGCAGGAGAACTTTATGTGCACAATTTGGAGACCAAATTACATAAGTTACAGCTAAAAATTAAAGTCTGAATGTTTTCGGTGCCCTTTTAATTTTATCTTTGGCTAATTTTACTTTTCTGAAATAATTCCACATTTCTTTAAAATGACTTGAACGTTGGCCAGGACGGGATGCATGTGAGAGGTAAATGGCAACGGCGTGCACTGGAGGAGGGAAGGAAGTGGGGTGCAGCTGGTTGGGGTTCTGTGGAGAAATTACGTATTGACCTGTCAGAACCATAATTTGCCTTTCTTTTGAGGAGGGGGGAGAAACGTGTCTAACCCTACATAGAACATCTAAAGAAAAGTAGTAAATTTCATGTGAATGACATTTATACCAGAGACGTTTAAAATGTTTACGATTCTCGTTTTTAACAGTCGGTCGGGAGAAAAGCAGTGTCAAGCATGCAGATAAGGAAGGTGTAGAGAGACGGAGAGGTGTGAAGTGAAGGTACTCCTTACTCCATACGTAGAGTGTGTTTAAGGCTCATATGCTTAGGACAAGACTTGACAAATTAATGCCGTGTACATGAAGTATTTTCCCTTTCCTCCCTGCCATTCCAGCTGGTGATGGTAAAGACAAATCTGGTCCCTCTAGTCATTTTGGTTAGCTGTGTCCTCAACTGCTTAGTGAAAACGCGCACAGTTATGTTTGCCCAAGCCCTCGTGTTCTGCTCCCACTTACTGTGTAAGCTTAAGCCTCTTAGATCTGCCGACACGCGGCAGACAGAGGCCGTGCCTCACGCTCCCCCTGCTCGCGCGTCTGCCGTTGCCCGCACGCCCCCTCCACCCAGGCTGTCCATTCGGGGTGACCGTCTGCACGCCCTCCCATCTTTCCCCACCTGCTCCGTTTCTGATCTTTCTCCTCTTGTGGTTTGTGAAACTCACGCCCTGCTTTACACACCGATCTAAGATGCCTACGCAGGAAGGCCCAGACGTGTCCAGCACACTCTCTGTCCTTCCAGATGCTCCCGGGGTCATGTGTGTTCTCTCCCTGGTTCCAGGTCCACGGTTTCGACTGTGGCCTTTTTGTGCTAAAATGCTTCTTTTCTTTGGAATGCCTGTTTCAGCAAGGATGAAATATTCCGAGTCTGTAAAAGTCTTGGTTTTGTTTGGCTTCACTTTGCTTTGTTTTCAGGGTAGAATTTTCCCCCTTGAGTTCCTTGTGGGCCGAAAGCAAACACGCCTCAGCACCATGTCCTTCACAGTCCCCCCCGACGGGGGTGGTTCTTCCAAGGCCGCCTTACACTAATTTTCAGGGGGGGAAAAAGCCAAACTCCCACCTTTCCCATAAATGAATGTTAAGATTCATATCACATTTCTAGAAATATTCCTAAAACGTCACACAAGGCTCTTTCTAAACCTTGATGTTACTGCCGTTTCCACAGATAAATTTGCCAAGAACCCTAAGAAATATTAGCTCTGCAAAAATGTGAACTTTTGGGCGCCTGGGTGGCTCAGTTGGTTAAGCAACTGCCTTCGGCTCAGGTCATGATCCTGGAGTCCCGGGATCGAGTCCCACATCGGGCTCCCTGCTCAGCAGGGAGTCTGCTTCTCCCTCTGACCCTCTTCCCTCTCGTGCTCTCTATCTCTCATTCTCTCTCTCAAATAAATAAATAAAAAATCTTTAAAAAAAAAGAAAAATGTGAACTTTTCATGTCTGACTTCTGCGGGTTCTGGAATCATTTTTAAAAGCCAGGAAACGTATACTTTATGCTGAGGTTAGATATCCAGAAACTATGAGAGGTGGCTGTGGTTTTGTCCTTTTTGTTGTCAGATGATTGACTTAAAACGAATTTTCTCTGATAAGACATTTGTTCACCACCACAAAAGTCATTATGTTCTCTTTAAAGTCTGTCTTCTTTTTAATGGAGACGCCAAGCAGAAAGGTTTGGTTCTGGCTAAAGTTTTTAACGAATTGGCAGTCTTCTGGTGTATGTGTTGTGTTTAGGTGATATCAGTGGCTTGTTTTGTTTCAGAAATCCTGGTATTAATGCAGTGACCCTACCTCAAAACTGAGTGACTCATTTAACTGTTATTTATGGAAATGGGTGCCTTTGGTGTAAACTCCCCACATGAGCACCCCCGCACCCCGCTTTCTTTGCAGACACAATTCTCTAAATCCTCATCCTTCATTTTTTTGAAAAATTTTGAAAAAATTTTAAGTAAAACCACACTGGTCCTAAACTTCAGGAAGAGAGTGGTGTGGAAAAGGGAGTCTTTTATTTCTTATTCTTAATATTAGGAAATTTTATGTAAATCATTAAGTACAGGTTTTCTAAGTTCTAGCGGGTTTGTTCCAGAGTGACCCATTTAATGTCTCTTAACCTTAAAGACCTTTTTTTCAAATTCAGTAGAAGTTTTAGACCTTTTCTTGACTTTCAATCCAGTTTTGATGTGGTTTTCATTCATTCTTTTTATTTGCCTCCAGAGGAAGTTTCCACTTTCTGAAAGGCTTCTGTATAATGTCTATAGCCATAAAGATGCCTTTGGTAACATCTTATGCAGTGGGGTTCTGCTATTGGTGACATTTCCTAAAATGGGCGAATTTGCAAAAATAGAGGTACCGAGTACTCGGTACAGAACTACACTTTTCAGGAGCCCGAACTGCATGCAGTGTGGCACACACAGCGCTTCACACTAGCCATTAGATCATTGCCAATGACCGAGACCGTTTGGGGGCACTTGCCCCTGCACACGCCGCCAGGTTCCTCGGGCAGCCTTAGAATGTGGATGCTGTAAAAGTCTTGGTTTTGTTTGGCTTCGCTTTGCTTTCTTTTCAGGGTAGAAAACAAAGCTCACGGCTGCCCTTTGACTTAGCATGCAGACGTGAGCTCACTCCTCCGGGGGCTTCGTTTGTAGCCAACGCCGCTGCCTTTTTAATTCCAGGCACAGAAAGATCTGAAGAAGGACCGGCCTGTCGTGCGCCGCAAGTCTGAGCTGCCTCAGGACCTCCACACCAAGAACGCCTTGGAGGCTCACTGCCGAGCTGATGAGCTGGTCTCCCAGGACGGGCGCTAGCCCCCCCCCCCACCCCGGAGGACCGCGTCGGGCTGGGGATGCCTGTTCTTTCCTGGATTCTGTAGAAAATACATCCTTTTTGTGCCATACAAATCAGTTACACTCAGAGTCAGAGCTTTCTTCGACCCCGTCCTGTAGGCAATAATGCACGTCTGCCTCAGCACGAGATTAGGAGTTCAAACAATGGTGGCCTCTCAGATGGGTTGGCAGAGCCAAGGGCCACTGGCCACGTCCCCAGCCGGTGGGCTCAGCCCCGGCACAGCCCCCGTAAGACTACTTCCCAAAATCAGAGCTAAGGAGAGCACCCTGGTCATCACCTTCATGTCCTGCCCAACCGGAATTCGTGATCATTTAAAAATAAGTGGTTCTATGATAATATCAATGTTCTTCAAATCAAAGGAACACTTTCAAAAAAGTTTATTACATATTTTTGAAGACTTTACAAACCTTTTCCATTGTTTCTCCGTGATTGTTATGCCAGTAGCTTCCCTCTCTCTCTCTCTCTCTCTCCCCCCCTCCCTCCTCCTCTCTTTCTCTTTTTCCTTTCTTTTTATCTCATTGAGATGGTTCTTTGCTGTCCCCATTCTAACATAACTTATGGGGAAAAGTGACATGACAATCCTCAGCCGCTGCGTTTGCTGACGGTATCTCTTTCCTTTGATTAGTGACATCTGTGACGTGTCACTTCTTCTGTGTATAGTTAAAGCCATATTTCCAAGCCTGGGGTCCAGCACCAGGGACCCCAAGAGTTAAGCTCATAGGAGAAACTTATTTTAAACAGAGCTCTCTCTGTCTACCTTGACCGCAATTGGAATTTTCAAATGATGTGTCCCATGTTTTGTTTGTTTGCAGACTTTTATTTTCTCTAAACATTGTTGCCCTTTCACAAGGCTCTTGAACTAATAAAGTTATCATCTCTGAGAATCCATTTTCTACATTTTATAGAAGGTTAGAACGAGATCATCTTGAGTCAGGCCACATCTTGGCCGGACGCGAGCTGCAGCTGCCTCTGGCCGTAAAGTAACAAAAATGCCACGGTGCGTGTGGGGCGCCACCCTGACGTCCCCTCGCTGCCGGGACGTGGTCCCCAGGCCTCAGCGGGCAGCAGCGGCGCGAGGGCTTACCAGGAACCGCGTCCAGGTGAACAGAGCACACATTACAAACACCTCATGAGGAAAATACAGCGTCTAAGTTCCCCTCGGTCTTCAAATGCTGCTATTAGATTTCACAGACTTCCTTGCATGTGTCGAGCTTTTTGTTAGGAATGGAATAGCACGAGGAGAAAAACCTTTACACTTAGTGCTTGGTCTGCTCCGTATTTCTCTCAGGGTGGCCCGTGTTTTGACTTCTTTACCCCGCTTGAGAGCCGTTTGAGATGTGTCCTGCTCTTCTAAACAAGTGACTCCAGTTTCTTTTGTCTCTGGCATAAGATTATATTCAGTTCATGTTAAACGTCTTGATGCATAAAAAGATAAAACGTGGCTTCTTTTAGGATCTGTATTTTAATCGAGGTCTTGGGTGTCCACGGAAACACTGGGAAGCAGACCTGGTTCCCTGCGTGGCCGTGGTACCTGCTGCCCCCGGTGTCACTTAGCCCACCCGTGATGTTGATTTCCTTCTGTCCCTAGAGGAAGATCATGGGGGGGGGGTTCTGGGTTAGGAGCCAAGTACTAACTGAAAAGCTTGCCCCAGCTAAAAGTGGGAAAGGCCACTTTGCAAGAAGAAACACTTCCTGAGAAACTTGACAAGTTATCTATCCATTTTACCATTATGAAATTTATAATTTAAAAAAAGTTTAGATGCCTTCTCCTTTTGAGGGAAAAAGGGTGCTTTTTATTGTATAAAGCAGCGTCTTATGTATTTTGATATACCATTGTTTGAACTTCCGTCTTTAGCTGATAGATTCTCAAATATCCTTGATTTCAGTATGTGTGTGAGAGAGGGTTCTGGGAAGACTCTCTTCTGCCCTAGGTAAAAAGCAAAATATCCATGATTTGGGTGATTGTATAAAGCTCAACCTGTAAGAACACCTTCTTGTCTAGGTTTTATTTCCGCTCTTTATTGAAGACAAACATTCACCAAAAAGCGGGGGGGGGGGGGGGGGGAGTTTTGAGAGAGACTAATTTTCTTTGACAAGACTATTATTTAATATTTTGACCTATTAAAGTTTTCCTAGTTAGTACTCAGATTCCCTGTGCTAATTGTTCAACTTATATATTATTATATAGATACACTGTTTATTCTGTACCAAACTGATTTCAAAATTACTACATTGAAAATAAACCGGTGACTGTTTTTCTTCATAAAGTTCTGCGTTCCGCATCTTCACACTTTCCAAAATGTATCTGTACATCAGAAATGTCACTATTCCGAGTGTCTTTTTAGTGTGGCTTTAGTATGGCTTCCTTTTAATATTGTACATACATTGTATCTTTGTTTTATGGTAATAAGTAATAAAAATGTAGACTTCATATTTTGTACAAAATGTCCTATGTACAGAATAAAAAAAAGTTCATAGAAACAGCAAAAATAGGTAAGTGGCACAATTATTTTTCTTTAGAAGATATCTGTAACTTTACGCTTTAGTGAAATGTTAAGTACCTACATATTTTTTAACATTTTGTAATTCTCAAAACTTTTTGTTCTGACATTGTTTATGAAGAGAAAACTTCATACACGTGCCATTTAATATGCTCTTTTATCCAATTTAAAAAAAAACAACTCTAAAAATGGTGTATTATATGGACTAAATAAAGAACATGTGAATTTTACTGCTCATCATGAAACTAAATTTAGCCATGGTGTCAGGCCAGCTGGGCCTGGTGGTTAGCAGGCTTCCTTTCGGGCGAGGGCAGCCACGCCAGGGACACGGCCGGGAGGTGGGGAGCGGAGGCCTCCGCCCAGCTTCCCCAGCTTGTTCCGTGAGGTCATGGTTCACCTCCCTCGGGGAAAAAAGTAGAGGTGCCTTTCTCCACCCCCTCTCGTCTTTGAGGAGGCAAATGTGAGTCAGAGCACAATTATAGAAATGGAATTATCTGAGCCCGAATCGTGATGCTTGAAATGATTCTTGAAAAGCAATTAATGTCTTGCCAACAGAGTAGAATCAGTGGGAATCTGAATCCGGGGTCTCAGCTGACCCCTCCCCGCTGCTTCATGGGGAACCTCAGCCTGATGCTGTGAGTGAAAAGTCCGCAGAGTAGGCCGAGAATCAAGGCATCTCCTCCTCGAGTCATTGCCACAAACCACCCATCTCCTTGGCCGCGCTGGATCAACATTCCAGCAGGCGCGGGGTCACCTGTGCGCCTCCGTTCCCCTCTGTCCGATGGCCTCGTGACGCCCTTCTGGACAAGAGTGCAGGAGACATCGCTCTGGAGCTGGGGCTTGTGGCGGCGGCCGCGCCCATGGTAACTCCGTGGGGAAGTTTGGAGAGCCGCACGTACCCCCGTTCACGCAGGGGCAGGTGCGCTGGTCAGAGGACACCCTAAATGTGGGGCAGCTAGCAACTGGCCGGGTCCTCGGACCAGCCGTCCCTTGCCTCCCGTCTTGGAATCGGGGAAGCTGCCGTGTCCGGTCGCATCCGTGGCTCGGGAACCCCCGAGAGAACTCAGGGGATGGACGCACGCCACGAGCCCAGAGCCCAGCTTCGCGCTGCTCCCAGTTCAGGCTAGCAGGTGGAACCCGCTGGGTGTCCTTCCCTGAGAACCAGCGCCGCAGGCCAGGGGCGGCGGGAGGCTCACGACCCGCCGAAGCGTCTGCCGCTCTTACCCTCGTTGACAGGGGAGGACAGGGGCACGCAGAGGTCAAGTCACTTGCCCAAGGGCACATAAGTACTGAGTGGAGCCAGGTTTCAGCCCACGCAGTATGGCCCCGGAGTCCCTCCCCTCGCCACGACGTCACACCGGAGGAACACCTGGGTCCTGCGGGGCCGGGGGCACAGGGGTGGGGGGTGGCTGCACACACGGGAGCACTTCTGACCGTGCACTTCACTTCTAGAGCTGGAGGAACCCGGCGACCGTCCAGTCCTGCGGCCTTCACATGCACTTAGAAGCCACCGTTCTTACATAAGCTTAAGGTTTGTGATAGTTTACTCAAACTCAGGCACGTTCTACCAACTTTCAGCTCCCTGGAGACCACCAGCTCGTTAGCTTCTGCCCTCCGTAACTTCATCATGTTACTGTGTGAACCCGCAAATGTATCAGAACCTCAGCTCCTCTTTGTTTAATATACATGGTTTTACATAAGATTTCCTTTCGGGGGTGTGAGGGAAGTAGATTCCACGATCCAAAAATTTGAAATCCACTAAGATTAACTTTTTTAGAGAAGGAAATGGGAGGGGTAGAGGCAGAGCAGTGCCCCCAGACGGCTCAGGGCTGAGCGTTTCCCCACTCTGGCCTGCAGTCTCGTGTCTCTGTGCTCTTCACAAAAGCATTACGTAAATTCCACACCACTTTGCGGTAGTGGAGGAAAGAATCTCTAAATTCATTTTTTCTTTTTTTTAAGATTTTTATTTGAGAGAGAGAGCTCACGAGCAGGGGGCAGGGGCAGAGGGAAAAAGAGAGAAAGAGAAGCAGGCTCCCCGCTAAGCAGGGAACCTGACCTGGGGCTCGATCTCAGGACCCCAAGGTCATGACCTGAGCCAAAGGCAGACACTTAACCACCTGAGCCACCCAGGTGCCCCTCTAATTCATCTTTCTTCTGGTCACACCCGGTTCAGGGGAAATGTGGCCTGGTTTACTCCCGTGGGGCATTTAGAAACAGCTCAGTAAATTTAAGCTGGAGCTGATCGCAGCTCTGTGGTTCATTTTATAGGATGATGCATAACTGATGACTAGTCAATCACAAGAGTTTTCTGACCCATCTTTTTTTTTCCAGTTTTATTGAGATGCAACTGGCACGCAGCTCTGTGTCAGTCCCAGGGGCACCGTGTAATGACTCACGTATGGTCTTGTGAAATGAGCACAGTAAGTTTAGTTAACCTCCACCTCCTCGCTTAGTGACCCCAAAGAAAGCCTCCTAGGTTCCTGTAGTAAGAACAGCCGGTGAGAGACACTTGGGTGAACACTCCGACGTGCCGGGGGAGGAAGAGCGGGCGGTGGAGGAGTGGGCCTCTCAGCCGCGGGAAGCCCACGGAGCTTCAAGCAACCCCCGGAATCGGGCACGTTCAGGAAATCGCTTCTGTGCAGCGTCTAATAGAGGTGCTCGGTCTCTGCCTGTCTCTCTCCCACACGCGCACACACCGCCCCCCCCCCGGCCTGCTCACGCCGGCACTACGCACAGAGTCGGGGTTTGGATTCCCGGGGGCGCTGGGTGGACCCAGGCACTACAGCGTAGCACTGAGGGGTCGGCCTAAGGTTCCCTGTCCACCTC